CCTCTCACTCTTGTGGCCTCTCCCATTGGGGAGCACAGGCTCCGGACGCACAGGCTCAGCGGCCATGGCTCACGGGCCCAGCCGCTCCGCGGCACGCGGTATCCTCCCGAACCGGGGCACGAACCCGTGTCCCCTGCATCGGCAGGCGGACTCCCAACCACTGCGCCACCAGGGAAGCCCCACACAAAATGGTTTTTACATCAGGGAACAGGGCAGAGATCGGCCTGACAGTGGTCAGAGGCCCAGAGGAGGAAGAAGCCCTCTTGTGGGAAACTCAGGGTACACAGGAAGGAGAAAATAGTAGGTCCAGCAATAAAGAGGTACAGGCTAACTATCGGGAAAGAATACTTTAAAACGAGAATCTGTGTGGTCTAGGATATTAGGATTCTCCTTGTTTCTCACTACTTTCTACTAAATGACAGATAGGACATATCAAGTCCCAGTACATGTTTTTAAAGATCTGACTTAATTTTAGTGGAACATTATTATTTACAAAAGTATTTTAACTGCTAAAATAATCTAACTTCTGTTGTTACTGTTTTGTTCACAGGTGAACTTTGGGCTGTACCTGATGCATACCTCTTTGGATTTATCTACTCCATGTTACCTGTCTGTAGGATCTCAGGTGCTCCCTGTGTTGAAAGAAAACATAGAACACTATGGTTTACCTGCTTCTGAGAAACAGCAGGAAGTTATCTCCTAAAGTTTTTTTCAGCATACATTAAAATGTCTCTTTTACAACTATCTCCATTCTTTTCTTTCTTCCAGTTTTGCTGAGATATAATTGACATACAGCACTGTGTAAGTTTAAGGCGTACAGCATAATGATCTGACTTATATACATCATGAAATGATTACCCTAGTAAGTTTAGTGAATTGTCTCACATAGATATAAAATTAAAGAAATAGAAAACAATATGTAACTTTTCCTTGTGAAGGGAACTCATAGGATTTACTCTCCTAAATTTCATACATAACATACAGCAGTGTTCATTGTATTTATCATGTTGTACATTACATCCCTGCTACTTATTTATCTAATAACTGGAAGTTTGTACCTTTTGACTTCCTTCATCCAATCCCCCACCCTCCTCCCCCCTCTGGTAACCACAAATCCGATCTCTTTTTCTATGAGTTTGTTTGTTTGTTCTGAAGTATAATTGACCTACAATGTTATGTTAGTCCCCAGTACACAACAGAGTGATTCAATATTTCTATACCTTTCAAAATTATCATCAGGATAAGTCTAGATATGATATGTCATCATACAAAGATATTACATAATTATTGACTATATTCCCCACACTGTACATTTCATAACCTTGACTCATTTATTTTGCAACTGAAAGTTTGTACCTCTTAATTTCCCTCACCTGTTTCTCTCCTCCTCCCACCCCTGCCCCCCACTTCTGGCAGCTACCTGTTTGTTCTCTGTATCTATGACTCTGTTTCTGTTTAGTTATGTTTGCTCATTTGTTTTGTTTTTCAGATTCCACATATAAGTAAAATCATATAGTATTTGTCTTTCTCTGTCCAATTTACTTCACAATTACCATAGTATCCTAAGTCCATCCATGTTGTCAAAAATGGCAAGATTTCATTCTTTTTTATGTCTGAGTAATATTCCATTGTATATATGTACCATATCTCTTTATCCATTCAACTTAGGTTGCTTCCATATCTTGGCTATTGTAAATATGCTGGAATGAACGTTGGGATGCAAATATCTTTTTGAATTAGCGTTTTCATTTTCTTTAGATAACAATTCAGGAGTAGAATTGCTGGATCATATGGTAGTTCTATTTATAATTTTTTTTTTTTTTTTTTTTTTTTGCAGTACACGGGCCTCTCACTATTGGGGCCTCTCCCGTCACGGAGCACAGACTCCGGATGTGCAGGCTCAGCGGCCATGGCTCAGCAGCCATGGCTCATGGGCCCAGCCACTCCACGGCATGTGGGACCTTCCCGGACCGGGGCACAAACCCGTGTCCCCTGCATTGGCAGGCGGACTCTCAACCACTGTGCCACCAGGGAAGCCCCTCTATTTATAATTTTTTGAGGAACCTCTATATTGTTTTCCATTGTGGTTGTACCAATTTACATTCCCATCAATAGTGCACAAGGGTTGCCTTTTCTCCATATCTTCATCAGCACTTGTAATTTGTTTGCCTTTTTGATGATGGCCATTCTGACATGTATGAGGTGATATCTCATTGTGGTTTTGATTTGCATTTCCCTGATGATTAGTGATGTTGAGCATCTTTTCTTTCTTTCTTTTCCTTTTCTTTCTCTTTTTTCTTTTTTTTGGCTTATAAACAACAGATATTTATTTTTCACAGTTCTGGAGACTGGCAGTCCAAGGTCAAGGTGCTTGCAGATTCAGTGTCTGGTCAGGCCCCTCTTCCTGTTCACAGCCAGCTCCTTCTTCCTGTGTCCTCACCTAGTAGAAGGGGTGAGGGAGCTCTCTGGGGTCTCCTTTATAACGGCACCAATTCCACTGATAGGGACGGAGCATCTTTTCATGTGCCTGTTGGCCATCTATGTCTTCTTTGGAGAAGTGTCTACTCAGGTGCTCTGCCCATTTTTTAATCAAGGGCTTTTGTTTGTTTGTGTGTTTATGTTGCATTGTATGAACTCTTTATATACTTTGGATATTAACCCCTTATTGGATACATCATTTGCAAATATCCTCTCCCATTCAGTAGGTGTCCTATTTGTTGTTGATAGTCTTCTTCGTTGTGCAAAAGCTTTTTAGTTTGACATAGTCCCATTTGTTTATTTTTGCTTTTGCTTCCCTTGCCCTGAGGAGACATATCCAAAAAATATTGCTAAGAGTGATGTCAAAGAGACTACTGCCTATGTTTTCTTCTAGAAGTTTTATGGCTTCAGTCTTACATTTAAGTCTTTAATCCATTTTGAATTTATCTTTGTACATGATGTGAAAGAGTAGTCCATTTTGATTCTTTTGCACGTAACTATCCGGTTTTCCCAGCATCATTTATTGAAGAGGTTGTCTTCTCCCCGTTGTATATCTTGCCACCTCTGTCATAGATTAATTGCCCAGGGACTTCCCTGTGGTCCAATGGTTAAGACTCCATGCTTCCACTGCAGGGGGCATGGGTTTGATCCCTGGTCAAGGAGCTAATATCCTGTATCCTGCATGCCACGTAGTGTGGCCAAAATATATATATATGTATACACACACACACACACACACACACACACACACACACACACACACACATACATATACATACATACATACATATATAAATTGCCCATATAGGGACTTGCCTAGTGGCACAGTGGTTAAGAATCCGCCCGCCAATGCAGGGGACATGGGTTCGAGCCCTGGTCCAGGAAGATCCCACATGCCACGGAGCAACTAAGCCTGTGTGCCACAACTACTGAGCCTGCGCTCTAGAGCCCATGAACCACAACTACTGAAGCCTGCATGCCTAGAGCCCGTGCTCCACAACAAGAGAAGCCGCCGCGATGAGAAGCCCTCACACTACAACGAAGAGTAGCCCCCACTTACTGCAACTAGAGAAAGCCCGTGTGCAGCAACAAAGACCCGTAGGAATTCGTCCATTTCTTCTAGCTTGTTCGTTTTATTGGTGTAGAGTTGTAGTAATCTCTGATGATTTGTATCTCATTGGTGTTGGTTGTAACTTCTCCTTTTTCTTTTCCAATTTTATTTCTTTGGGCCCTCTCAGTTTTTTCCCTTGATGAGTCCGGCTAAAGGTTTATCAATTTTGTTCATCTTTTCAAAGATCCAGTTTAGTTTCATTGATATTTTCTATTGTTTTTTAGTCTCTATTTCATTTATTTCTGCTCTGCTCTTTATGATTTCTTTCCTTCTACTAACTTTGGATTTTGTGTGTTCAACTGTCTCTGCCCTCATTAAGATCAACAACGTGTTCGGTAGAACTTGGTCTTTTGAACACAGAGAGTTCTTTTCCTCTTGAAGGTAGAGAGTGCCTTCACTAGCTTCCTTCTTCCTCTAACTCCACACTCTCCTTGTGTGCACAGCCCCACTCAGGAGGGCAGTTCTGAGGCTTCTGTGCTTTCCAAGAGGCAAATTTAGCACAAGTGCTGCATCCACACCCAGCAAGGCTCCCACATGTGTTAGAAGTATGATCATTTCTAATTAGATGAGATTTTTAGTGACTCTCACTGGGAATATTTAACCTCCTCTATTTTGCCATTTTACCATGCTCCTACTTTGCCTTTAGAAAGACACTTTAGGCTGTCTTCTTGCACTGAGGAAGGTAGTCTGTGCCCAGTGATCTTGAGGGAATGAGAACGTGCCTCCCTTCCCTCATGTACACAGAGGAGCTGGGTTTATGCTCAGGGCCTATTGTGACTTGTGTCCACATTCCTTAGGAGACATTTGACCAGGATGTGTTGATCAAGGCACAGGCCAGCAACCCCCTTCCTCCTACTTCCTACTCCTGCCCATCATTCCTCTCCCCCTTTGAGTTGCTGCACTGAGGATTGCTAGCAAGCTTGATGTCACACTCAGTGCCTCGGTGTTATATGAGCAATTGTGTTCCCTTCCACAAGCCCATCAGACAGTGTTGTTCCATCCACCCAGAGCCTCCAAATCCTAGTCAAGAGAGGAACTTTGGACTCGGAGGTTTTTTCAGGATGGCGGAGTAGAAGGACGTGCACACTCTCCCTCTTGCGAGAGCACTGGAATCACAACTAACTGCTGAACAGTCATCGACAGGAGGACACTGAAACTCACCAAAAAAGATACCCCACATCCAAAGACAAAGGAGAAGCCACAGTGAGATGGTAGGAGGGGCGCAATCACAATAAAATCAAATCCCATAACTGCTGGGTGGGTGACTCACAAATTGGAGAACAATTATACCACAGAAGTCCACCCACTGGAGTGAAAGTTCTGAGCCCCACATCAGGCTTCCCAAACTGGCAGTCTGGCAACAGGAAGAGGAATTCCCAGCGAATCAGACTTTGAAGGCTAGCGGGATTCGATTGGACTTCAACAGGACTGGGGGAAACAGACACCACTCTTGGAGGGCACACGCAACGTAGTGTGCACATCAGGCCCCAGGGGGAAGGAGAAGTGACCCCATAGGATACTGAACCAGACCTACCTGCTAGTGTTGGAGGGTCTCCTGCAGAGGCGGGGGGTGACTGTGGCTCACCATGAGGACACTGGCAGCAGAAGTTCTGGGAAGTACTCCTTGGCGTGAGCCCTCCCAGAGTCTGCCACTAGCCCCACCAAAGAGCCTGGGTAGGCTCCAGTGCTGGGTCACCTCAGGCCAAACAACCAACAGAGACGGAACTCAGAGCCACCCATCAGCAGACAAGCAGATTAAAGTTTTACTGAGCTCTGCCCACCTAAGCAACACTCAGCTCTACCCACCACCAGTCCCTCCCATCAGGAAACTTGCACAAGCCTCTTAGATAGCCCCATCCACCAGAGGGCAGACAGCGGAAGCAAGAAGAACTACAATCCTGCATCCTGTGGAATGAAAACTACATTCACAGATAGACAAAATGAAAAGGCAGAGGACTATGTACCAGATGAAGGAACAAGATAAAACCCCAGAAAAACAACTAAATGAAGTGGAGATAGGCAACCTTCCAGAAAAAAAATTCAGAATAATGATAGTAAAGATGGTACAGGACCTCGGAAAAAGAATGGAAGCAAAGATTGAGAAGATGCAAAAAATGTTTAACAAAGACCTAGAAGAATTAAAGAACAAACAAACAG